CCTTCAGGAAGATTTGATATTTCGATGTTTGACAGTCGAATCAGATTCAGAGAGAAACAGTCTGATGGCTTGGATATCGATTTTGATTATCGATTACCGATGCTCATTAAACAATTCAGAAGGCGTGAAAATGATGATAACACCTATGAATACTTAAGAGAAACCTGTGAACCAATTATCGTGAAGATTTGTCAAAAGACTGGGTTGAGGTACAAAGATTTGTGCGATCTAATCTATTCCAGAAGTAGTATGAAATGTGATCTGTGCAAACAAAGAGAACAAAGGTAATTAAGGTATTTGAGAATGTTTTCCTCATTATCAAACACAAAGCATCAGTATTCAATCCATAGCTAAGAGCCAAAACATCTTTGTTGCAAATCGTTGGCATCCAACCCAATACCTTTTGGCATCTATCTCATTACCTCTTGGCACCAAAGTCATTATATTTTGGCATCTAACCCATTACCTTTTAGCATTAAACTCATTACCTGTTTGGTATCCAACTTTTAACCTTTTGGCGTCTATCTCATTACCTTTATTGGCATTTTACTCATTACCTTTTTAGTATGCAACTCATTACCTTTTTGGTATCTAACTCATTACCTTTTTAGTATCCAACTTATTACCTTTTGGCATCTAACTCTAACTGGCATCAGACCATTAACCTTTTGGCATCCAACTCATTACCTTTTTGGTAATGTCAGTTTTTAGTATCCAAGTTATAACCTTTTTGGCATCTATCTCATTACCATTTTGGTATCAAACTCATAACCTTTTGGCATATAATTCATTACCTTTTGGCATTCAACTAATAACCTTTTTGGCATCTAACTCATTAACTTTTTGGTATCCATCTCATAGCCTTTTGACACCAACTCATTACTCTTTTGGCATCTAACTCATAGCCTTTTTGGTATCCAACTTATATCCTTTTGGCATTTAAAACATTTATTTTTTGGCATCTAACTAATTACCTTTTTGGTATCTAACTCATTACCTCTTTGGCATCTAACTCATTACCTTTTTGGCATCTAACTCATTACCTTTTTGGCATCTAACGCGTTACCTCTTTGGCATCTTACTCATTACCTTTTTGGCATCTAACTCATTACCTTTTTGGTATCTAACTCATTACCTTTTTGGTATCTAATTCATTACCTTTTTGGTATCTAACTCATTACCTTTGGCATCTAACTCATTACCTTTTTGGCGTCTAACTCATTATCTTTTTGGCATCTAACTCATAACCATTTTGGTATCTAATTCATTACCTTTTTGGTATCTAACTCATTACCTTTTTGGCATCTAATTCATTACCTTTTTGGTATCTAACTCATTACCTTTTTGGCATCTAATTTATTACCTTTTTGGTATCTAACTCATTACCTTTATGGCATCTAACGCGTTACCTCTTTGGCATCTAACTCATTACCTTTTTGGCATCTAACTCATTACCTTTATGGCATCTAACGCGTTACCTCTTTGGCATCTTACTCATTACCTTTTTGGCATCTAACTCATTACCTTTTTGGTATCTAGCTCATTATCTTTGGCAAATAACTCATTACCTTTTTGGTATCTAACTCATTTCCTTTTTGGTATCTAACTCATTACCTTTGGCATCTAACTCATGACCTTTTTGGCATCTAACGCATTACCTTTTTGGTACCTTACTCATTACCTTTTTGGCATCTAACTCATTACCTTTTTGGTATCTAGCTCATTATCTTTGGCAAATAACTCATTACTTTTTGGTATCTAACTCATTACCTTTTTGGCATCTAACTCATTACCTTTTTGGTATCTAACTCATTACCTTTGGCATCTAACTCATGACCTTTTTGGCATCTAACGCATTACCTTTTTGGTACCTTACTCATTACCTTTGGCATCTAACTCATTACCTTTATGGCATCTTACTCATTACCTTTTTGGCATCTAACTCATTACCTTTTTGACATCTAACTCATTATCTTTTTGACATCTAACTCATTACCTTTTTGACATCTAACTCATTATCTTTTTGGTACCTTACTCATTACCTTTGACATCTAACTCATTACCTTTTGGTATCTAACTCATTACCTTTTTGGCATCTGACTCATTAACTTTTTGTCATCTTGCTCATTACCTTTTTGGCATCTAACTCATTACCTTTTTGACATCTAACTCATTACCTTTTTGGCATCTTACTCATTACCTTTTTTAGCATGTAACTCATTACCTTTTTGGCATCTTACTCATTACCCTTTTGGCATCTAACTCATTACCTTTTCACACCAACTCATTCATTCTTTAGAAAAACTCATTGCCTTTTTTGGCATAACTTTAGGGGGATATGAATATGCAAGAAATAAATTACAAGTTTCCTATCAATGAATTTTATTCACGTCTTTTTTTTTTGTTAAGCAGGGGTGAGGTGAGGAGGGAGGGGGGGGGGGGGGTAGGATCTGATTATGCAACAGATATTGTCAGTTAAAATTATAAGTTTCCAATATACAATTTTTATTTCATTTTCGTGTGAGAGTAGATTTATACTATCACTCGGCATAAACGTCTATTTATATACATATCGCATCTGTTTGGGTGGTATCTGGGTGGTGGATGGTTATATCTGCTTTAGATTCATTGAATGTCATCAAGTGACCATCAAGTGACCATCAAGTTTTGATTATAATTCCCAAAATTTGCAGGAAATATAAAATTACAGTTATAATACTTTGGATTCAATTTAGATTCACAATTGTACCAATTTAGGTGACAAAATTGTTATGAAATTAAGAAAATTCAAAGATCAGAATATTCACTCAAAATTTTAGATTCTTCACTAAGCACTAAAAGGTGTGCATTTTTAAAAGATGGATATTGATAATTTCCGGTTCAATAAATGAGCGAGATGCCTAGATTAATTTTACAACTTGTTCAGAATCATTTAAATTTAGATAATAATTTTTTAATTGGCTTTTCAGAAATATCAGCATTGAATTCATTGAATTGGCTTACATATTCTGGACCATTAAGTTTTGATTAAAAAGCCCAACATCTAAATAAAAATCTCAATTTTCAGTTTGGGAACTAAATTTAATTTCATAAAGCCATCCATAATTCAGGTGCCAAAATTTTAATGAATATATGAAAATTAAAAAATGTGAATGTTCACTTAAAACTGTATTTAGATAGATCTCTTAGATAGAAACTGATACATTTCCGATTAAATTAGTGAATTCCTGCAACTCGTTCAAAATCATGAAAATTTAGATAATTGTTTTTAATTAGCTTTTCAGAACTGTCAGCTTTATAATCATTGAAAATCATTTTGTGGACCATGAAGTTTTGATTTAAATATTCAAAATTAACTAAAAAAACGCAAATTTCAATTTTGAAAATTCGAATCAAATTTAATTTCATAAAGTCATTAAAAAATCAGGTGCCAAAATTTTAATGAAATTTTGCAAATTCAAAAATCTGAATATTTACTCAATTTCATTAAATCTAATAAATATTAGTACTTTGCCTTAGTACAGAGAGGTGGGTTATTTTTTTTATAAAGATAGAAACTGATAAATTTCCGGTTCAATTAATAAACTGGATGCCGATCATAATCATAATATATTGAAATTATGATAATTGAATTTAAAATGTCATGGCTATCACTGTATAACCTGATACTTAAATGATTTTAGATAAACATGGAAAGAAAAAAAAAATCCAATCTATCTCCAATGAATCAACAAAAAAAAATTTGAATATTTAGATTTTGTGAGAGGCATAAGCTTATAATTATATAGGATATTCTCCGTTCCAAAACACACGATGCCACTCGGATTTCTATCAATAGTTCGATGTTAATTCGATGTAAATTTTTGGCCCATGCTCCCTACCCCCCTACGATAGTAAGAAATGAAAAATTTATTCTACTTTCACTTTTAAAATCGTTTTAGATGTTTTTCCGGTTTCCCATATTAGAAAGAAACGCCGCCATATATCTATTTTATAAGAAAGAGAAAAGAAATAAAACTAGATCGTCAAAACACCAAATAAAATATATATATATATATACAATTAAAGAGAGAAAAAGAAGAATAAAACCAAATGAATGTAAGAATGTAACAAAAGAAAAGAAATAACCATAGGAACGAAAATGGATCGTCAATATAGCGAAAATATAACTATGGAAAGAACTAATTATTGTATATTTAACAATCAAAAAAAAAAAGAAAAAAAAAAGTTAAATAACTAAAGAAAAAAGACGGATCGTCTATTTAACCAAAATATTTGATCAAAAACAAGTTATCCAGAGAGAAGAACCGAATATTCTATGTAACCAAATAAAAGAATAAACGGAAGAAGCATAACCGGATCGTCTATGTAACCAAAGAAAAGAACAAGCGGAAGAAACAAAACCGGTTCTTCTATATAACCAAAGACAAAGAAAAATAAAAACCAGAGAGATGAAATTGTATGAAAATAAAAACGGATCATCTTTGTAACATACAAAAAAAAAAAAAAAAGAAAAAAAAAAAAAAAAAAAAGAAAAAAAGAAAAAAGAAACTTTTTTTTTTGTTATATAACTAAAGAAAAGAATCGGATCTTCTATTTAACAAGATATCAAAAGAAAAGAACTTGGTCGTCTATTTGAACAAATACAAGATATCCAGAGAAAAGAACCGAATATTTTATGTAAACAAATAGAAGAAGCATTACCTGATCTTCTATATAACCAAAGACAAAAAAAAAAAAAATAAAAACCAAAGAGATGAGATCCTCCGTGTAACAAATATAAAAAAAAATCCCATGTGAAAAAAAAAAAAAATAAAAAACAAAAGCTAAAAAAATTAAACAAACACAGAAATAAAAAAAAAAAAAAAAAACCGAATAAAAAACAAAAAAAAACCAAACCAAAAAACGGAAAATCCTGTATATATCGAAAAAAAAAAAGCT